TATTGCTTCTGTAGAATTAAAAAATTACACAACCAATCAATATTTATCATAAACATCTGAGGGAAAAACTTACGGAGTATAATAATTACAAACAAATGTTACAATAGTTTTTTCCAGATGAGTTTTAAAAATAGACAATACTATGGTTTTATTCTTTAATTCGTAGTTACGTAGGTAACAGAAATAATGTGACATCTGACACTAACTTTTCGAATAACCGCTGAATTGTTCCAATAACCGTCAATTTGTTCCATCATAGCTCTGAGTCTTCCAACACTGACGTTGGCGTAATCGTCGCATGAAACGACGAGATGGAGCCATACCCACAAAAAACTTGACTTGACTCGCGAAAATGTTATTAATAATGTTTCATATTGTGATTTAAATTTTGTAGGAAGAGATTTATTTTTTGACTAATCCGGTATAAGCGTTAGCGGGTTAAACAATACGCTACGCCTATGAATGTAACAGGAACCATAGATAATTTCCAACTAACACTTCAGGGAGATCACATGCGATAACTTTTGGCTCTCGGTCGTGTTATCAGTTGGAAATAATTGTTACGCTGTAAGTTTCCGTTTGCGTAGTTGATATTGTAATGCTTGAAATTGCTGTTTCAATATGTGCAGAACGTAAATTAACTTATACCTCGGTATTTAAGATTTTGAATTAAACTTGGAACTCGATAAGATAACGAAATAGCCAACAGGTTAGGTACAAATACTAACACAGATAATATGAAATACTAGGTACAGGTACCCGATCTCATGCAAGGAAATGTCTCGCTCGTAACTCCGCTTATTCTGACGGTTATTTTGATTATAAGTAAACCCGCGATGCGATTATAATAATTTTCATAAACGAAAAATTTCATAAAAATAATTCGAAAACGTCAACAGATGGCAGCTATTACATTTTTGTCTTCAAGGTTATTTTTTTTTTGTCCGGTCGTTTATTATACAATAACATACAATAGAATCGCAAAGAAGATATTTTAAAGTAAAAGTCAGTTCTAAAACGTTATTTAATTGGAGAACAAATTCAAAGAAATGCCATCTATACAATTTATTGCAAACTAATAAAATAAAAAATTTTATTAAGGATGCTGAACTTTTTGACAATCGCTACGTTGTTTGGCGGCGCGATCGCAACTATGCTGCAACGGGCCAGATTTATGGTGGGGGTGTATTGATAGCGGTACGTCGGGACCTTACCGTCATACCGCAGCCTACATACCACTCGAGTGCTGAGGATTTATGGCTGACTTTGGTGCTTAGACAACGTGACGTGGACCGTCATATCAATCTACATATTTGTGTTGTTTATTTATGTAACGAGGGGCAGGGTTTCACTTTTTCTCAACAATTAGATAATTTTCTGAATAATTTAGATACAGTAGTCATGCGATCGCCGTACGACAAGTACTTGATTGCGGGAGATTTCAATTTGAGTACCTTAACGTGGACTCCAGGCTGTGCTGACTGTTTTTCTTTAGACCCATTGAATTTTACCACTGATGACGAAAATTTACTGGTGGATGAGTTAAACATCCTTGGTCTTAGACAGTTTAATGGCATAAGGAACGTTTATGGGAGGACTCTTGACCTTGTCCTGTCAAATGGTGATGTCAAGGTTGCAGACTGCAGTGAAGACCCGCTCGTACCAATTGACCTTCACCACGGTGCCCTAACTATCGAACCGCAATTTTTTGACCTTGTTCCCTTAAGTAGTGCCTCGTATGTAAAGTATCTTTTTAATAAAGGTAATTATGATGCGATAAATTCAGAAATTTCATTAGTCAACTGGGAGTATGAACTAAACACAAAACCTCTTGACAGTGCTGTTGATTTTTTCTACACCACCTTGCAGTCAATGAGGGATAAGTACATACCACGTAAAACTGTCACTGGTAAGCGATATCCTGAATGGTTTTCCCCTGCTCTAAAAAAATCTCTCAAAGAAAAGTACAAATATTTGAGGAAATATAGAATTTACGGTAATAGTGCTGATGAGCAATCTTTTAAACTATTAAGAAATCGATGTAAGACTCTAGAGAAGCAAAGTTATAGGAATTATATAAATTTGGTAGAGAATTCTTTGAAGGATAACCCAAAAATGTTCTGGTCATTTATTAAGTCTAAGTCAAATGTGAATGACATTCCAATAAGTATGAAATTCGAAGAGTCTGTTCTTAACACTGGTGACTCCATTTGTAATGCATTTTCCAAATACTTTCACTCAAATTTTTTGGACAGCCACGTACCATCGACATCTCAAACTACTTTTTGTGCACACGCTTCTACCCCGACCGTTGCTAGCATTTCTAGTATAAAAGTAGATGGTAATATTATATCAAAACTTCTCTCGCAATTAGATCCTGCAAAGTCGGCTGGTCCAGATCTACTTCCAGCTAACTTCCTTATACGCTGTTCTGTGACTATAGCTGTCCCAATCGCTATTCTATTTAATAGATCGTTAGTAGAGGGCACGGTACCAAGTGTGTGGAAGCGTGCATACGTCACACCAGTCCACAAAAAAGGCTCCAGAACGGACATTATGAATTACAGACCAATCTCAAAGTTGTGTATTGTATCGAAAGTTTTCGAAAGGGTTGTTTATGATCAACTTTATTCTGCACTCAGGCAATCATTTAGCTTCACTCAACATGGATTCTTGAAAGGGCGCTCCGTTGTGACCAACCTGATACTGTTCAACGACTATTTGACTTCGCATATGGATAATGGCTGCCAAATCGACGTCATTTACACGGATTATAGCAAAGCATTTGACCGAATTCGGCATGACTTACTTATATGCAAACTACAGAAGATCGGTATCAGTGGCGATCTGCTAAGGTGGCTTACGTCGTATATCTACAATAGGTCACAAGCGGTTGTGGTAAAAAATTATGTCTCTGGGTGGCTTAGGGTACCTAGTGGAGTCCCGCAGGGATCATTGCTCGCGCCTCTCTTATTCGCAATCTTTGTAAACGATATTGAACACTGTTTCAAATCATCACAACTACTATGCTTTGCGGATGATATGAAGATCATAGCACCTATTTCTTCAGTGTCTGATGCAATCTTGCTTCAAGAAGACCTTAGTAGGCTCGACACCTTCTGTACCGATAACCAACTCGACCTTAATCCGTCTAAGTGCACTGTCGTCACTTTTAGTCGTAAAATTAACTTAATACAATTTAACTATTCACTGAAAGACATTACTTTGCAACGCGATACTGTGGTAAGGGATCTTGGTGTGTTTCATGATCATAAGTTACTATTTGCCTCCCACATCGATTCGATCGTTTCAAAAGCCTCAAAGAGTCTTGGATTTGTGATGCGTAACTCCAGAGATTTCCATCAGGCTAAGACACTAAAAATTTTATATTGCTCACTTGTACGCAGCCACCTTGAATACGCATCGCAGGTGTGGAGCCCGCAGTATCTAACATATATATCACGAATTGAAAACGTGCAAAAGAGATTCATTAAATATTTATGTTATCGAACAAGGGAGAGGTATGATTCAAGCCGGTATCTTGAAATATGTAGGAAACATCATCTCTTGCCACTAGAGAAGCGACGCCAGATTGCAGACTTAGGTCAGAAAGCATTATCTGTCTACATTTCTGATTGACGTGATCCTGTCCTTAATATCTAGTGATCGGAACCGAGGAAGTTAATTTATCTAAACTATACGAAAACGTGGACATTCCCTTCCACAAAACCTGGGACTTCTCGGAAGTAATTACATTTGAATATGCGTATTATTTACAGAAATTAGAGTACATTGGCGACAAATTACTATTCCCTATTAAGTATTTGCTACAAATTATTGTCTGAAAAAATAATATTGTAGTTGTATTTCTATGGTATACTTACCGTTTTTAAACTTACTTACGTATTTAAATATTTTAGCAAAATTTTAAATTTTTATTGAATTGATATTCAATTATTTTTTGTGAAATAACTCCACCAGTTTGTTATAATTGTTAATACAAAGATCGAACACTCAGAAAAAATTCCTTCGATCCGGCCGGATTCGAACCGACATTTTCTAGCTTACCGTGCCAGACGCTATACCAACTAAGCCACGGAAAGAACCAGCGGACTTCACGAATTTTTCTATGTGCTTGCGTCGTGTCTTTGTATTTGGTTTTTCAATTACTTTTTAGTCGTAGCGCCATCTATGAGAAATCTATGAAAGATTTATCACCCAGTTAGTACCTTTACAGCTACCAGTCCTGGCGAGAGATGTCGCTATTCGCTGTATTTCAAATTTGTAAATAAATGTAGGATAACCTATATTTTGGAACGTTTACAAAATAAACGGTCAAAAAAAATTTTTACGCATTGATGACGAATTGAAATTAGAGGCTTATAAAAGCGCTACAGTGGCGCCACTATCGTGTCACAAGAACCACTTTTGCAACCACAATTTTATTTAACTAAACATTACCCGAAACGAAATGTCATTTAATTTGTTTGAAAATGTCCACTCATAACGGTGACAACTGCGTTCCGATTGGCCAGCCCGAATTCGAAATAATTGACGGGTGTGGTCAATTGTTTCACTTCAGATCGACCAATTTAACTTGAACTTTGGTATGGTATAATGGACGAAAAATGAAAAATTACATATTTAATTACAGACGAAATGTGACTCCATTTGTTTTGTAATTAGATAATTTGCTGTTTTTCCTACACCACCGAACGGAACATAGAGATATTATTACAATAAATAGAGAATATTTTTGGGAAACACGAAGACGTTCATATAGGTCAGTTGTTGGCTCCGTACTATTTCAGCTTCCTAATTTGTGATTTCAGCGCAAACGTGAGTCGATATTTTAAAGTGATATAAGACCCATTTGCCTATTAAAGTTGCCAGGGGTGGAAAGCTCTTCTTTCGTCTCTATTTCTATTTATATACTCGATGACATTACTACAGACGCGCGGCTGTCGTTATAAGCGTCTAATTTGAAGCATTGTCTTCAGTGCAGATGGCGTATCAGTCCACTACCAAGTGAACAAGGAGACTCCAACCGGCACATGCGCAGTACTTATAACGGGTACACACCGGTCGCTCGTTGCCAACCTAGCAGCCGCGCAAAAGTTCACAGCTGATCACTTGGCCAAGGAGGAGAGTAGGAAGTGTATTGAAGCATCTAAGATTATTTACGCCTCTGTAAGTATTTGTTACTATATTCAGTTATGAGAATCATAATTAGTTGTAGCGGTAAAAGAACACATCGCGAGGAAATTAGTCCGATTTTTTTTTATAGCTTACGGAAACTTATTTATTTAATTTTATATAATTATATAAATACATGTTATCGATTATATATTATATAATAAATCATTAGTTATATCTTAAGTGTATGTTATTAATATATGTATCATCACGACAAATAAGTCATTGTAGACTTTAATTTAAACCTAAATTAAATTTAAAATTCTCTAAACTCACTACTAATTTTGTTTTGTTCTGTTCGTTTATAAGGCTTCAAAATTTATGAATTGTGGATAACTATTTTGGCCTAAGTTATTTAAGACAAATATTGTTCGTTGTAAGATGTATTTAATTAATTGTTATTCCTTAATATTAAAATTTAAAAAAAACCCTGTATCGCGGGTGCCATGGATACGCATAGACAACTACAAATTGCACCCAAAATATTTTTATATTTTTAATTAAGAGTTTTGGCTTGGGTGCCATGTCCTTTGGGCCATTTAATCGTTTAATTATCGAGATTCTCGATAAATATTTTCCATTGTGTTTCTAATGCATTATGTTTTCACTTTCTCTTATATAACTTAGTTCACTTATTTGGGTTTTTTAAATAGTCTTAAGCGGCGGGAGTAATATTTATGTTTTTACTTTCACTTAAATCACATTATTGTCACTTTGAACAAAAACTTTTTATTCGTAATTAGTGGATTTTTTCTTTTTGGATAAAGTCTTTTGTAGTTTAGTTTAAAATAAGGAATATAGTTCTAACTTTCTTCATCACTATTTCTTTCTTCCTATTTTCTTAATATAATAAAAATAATCTTTGTAAAAACTGTACTTGTAACTTCAAAAGCCCGCATTTTTTGTTCTACACCCAATTCATGTAGTGTTGTACTGCGTGGCAGACCAGCTTAGTAACCGTTCGGCCGCAGAGGCAGTTTAAGGGTCGTATTCTAGAACTCTACTCAATGCTCAAGTCAGGGTTTGAGTATGGTTTAAAGCACTTGATATCATACTCAAGTCCCTGCCATTAGGGTCGTATTTCCAGTGCTTGTGTTTCCAGTGCAATCCCGACTTGAGCATTGAGTAGAGTTCTAGAATACGACCCTAAGTGTTAGACTCTTGTCTGTGTAGTAAACGTCGTTCTATCTTCTACAAAGATTTTTCTTTGTTCTCCTTTTGTATGGTGCCCCCCTTTTTGCCGTCATCATAGACCCTTGGCGCATTTTTCTTCGCTTTTTATAGAAGTTGTCATGTCCATTTTCTACAAATAAAAAAAACTCATTACCAACCATGGCTGTAATGAGAAAAAAGGGGCCCGACGGTTTTATTTGGGGCATTATAATCAAGTTAGCCTGCATGCAATCATACTACTTACGTGCACGTGTGATAAAGAATAAGTAAGGCATAAAGACAAATTGTAGTTACAAAAGTGACACGATAGCTATACTACCGTGAACCAAAACCAATAATGTGTTCCCTAATTTCCAGGGTTTCTTTATAGCAGTATCACCGGAATCGATATTGCAGCTCGCCAAGCACGCCCACAGTAAGAATCTCCCGTTCGTGATGAACTTGAGCGCGCCCTTTGTCTCGCAATTCTTCAAGGAACCCCTTGAGAAATTGTTGCCTTATATCGACGTGCTCTTCGGAAATGAATCGGTAAGTATAATTCGCAGTAAAGCTCCTTGTGAAAGAGTTCGTCCAGGGAAGTACTGCCACCTTACTTAAGGGTGCTGTTGAAGTTACAGGCACGTGGGACTTGTCAACTTATGTCTCAGGGTGACAGACGCAAAGACAGTGCCCCTTAGATTTTGCGATTTAAAACTCTGAGTGGCACGCAAGAAGTACCTTATACATGACGGGTATAGAGTCATCAGCTCATAAGACCCCCTGGTGGCTGACCTAGGAAGTATTTTTCCTTATACTATTATAATAATAATAATAATAACGCACACACTCAACATAGACCCGCATTAGGGAAACCCTGTGTCGCGGGTGCCATGGACACACACATAGACAACCACAAATTACACCCAAACTCACGAGAAAAATAATTGTAGGCCATACAACTATTTCTCCCGGCCCGGGAATCGAACCTGGGACCTCTGCGTGGCAGTCATGGTAACCGTTCGGCCACGGAGGCAGTTATACGTACACCTAATCTCCAAATTGATGCTTTTTCTGGCTTTCTGGGTTCATGTTTTTATTTAAACGTGTTTTGAAGTTAATACTGCCTTTATGGAATATGTTTCGGATTCTGAAAAATTATCTAAAAATTGTATTGAAAAAAAAAAGAGATGCCAGCGCCATCTATTGATTAACGACGCATCTTCCTGGACATACAAAGCAAAATATACGTAGTGATTAGACCGTGGTGGCACTGCAACTGCTATGGACAGGCGTGTCGCTTACCACCAAGCGCACGACTTCCTGCCCCGTCAGTTGGTATCGTAAAATAAAGTTAATTGTAACCATGGACCAATAACACCAAAGGACTGCTAATTTCCATACGTAACTCAGAAAAAGATCAAAATCACGTCCTATACCTAGATGGCGCTGATCAATATCCTGGAAGTAGTTTTTATTATGTAAATGGCCGTGGATATATATTAATTCCTCTTTAATGTGAAATATAAGAAGTCAGTTTTTTTCCTTGTAATACTATTTAAATCTTGATTATGAGTTTAAATTATTTTCTGAACTTTGACAAATATGCGTGTCAATAGATGGCATCGTGTGTTACAAACTAATTCATAAATCAATGCTTCCTCATATAGATAGATGGCACTAATCTTAAACAAAATAAAAACTAGCTGGCTCTATCCACAAAAATCTGCAATAAGCGCCATCTATTTGATTTGTTTGTTACCACTAAAAATTACAGTAGCTGTAATAAATTGCAGCTTGTCAATGTAATACAATTTTTTTACGAGAGTAGCTATTTGGTAGTGATGCAACAGACCTCTGCTTTTGCTTCCGCAACTTCGTAAGTTCTGGACGCTTTTTCACATCACTTTTTATAACGGTACTATTATCGGAAGTTTATAAGGTTCGTGATAGATAAGGCGTGTGCGCGTATAACTTGGCGGTGGGGCGCGTGGTTCTTAACAGTTTTGTATTAAGTGCAATTGGAACTATTTCGTGAATATCTTTATAGTATTTGAACTTCCACTTCCGCACCCGCTTCCGTTTCCGTTAACATTTACTTTTGATATCTGTCTGTTTCTGGTTCCGTCGTGCATGACACTTCTGTTGCATCGCTATTTGGTACTCGTCGCGACATCTGGTGTCCTAAATACATGACGCAAATACGCAAATACATACGCTGTTTTCTATCGCGATTAGTGGTCATCTTGAGTTATTATTTATTAGTCCATGTAGTACATGACATGACACTTTTCTTGCATCTATTTGTTAATACATAGGGCGCATTATAAGTTTCCGGAACTGGCCACTTACATAAACAATATTTAAAAAGTAATTACAACATTTGAAAATGGAACTCTTTGGCTGTAGAATAGTTTGTTTTATCTGACGGTCACTTGTTTTTACATAGTGGCGTCATTTTAGAAATTGGTTGTCTACATCACTATGGATTTAGCTCGTGAAAATTTTCGTAGTATGATTTTCTACGACTTTAAGTGTAATTCAACAGCTCAGCGGAGCTTCGCTCGGCTTCAAACTGCTTTTGGCGATGAATCACAATTTGGTGTGGAACATAGTTATAGGTGACGAAATATGGATTTATAGTTACGATCCCAAAACAAAGCAGCAATCGAGCGTATGGATCTTTCGAGATGAGCCGAAACCAACCAAAGTGGCGCGCGTGCAAAGTGCCTCTAAGCGGATGATTGCTTCTTTTTTTAATAAAACTGGAAACGTGGCTACTGTTGCTTTGGAGAATCATTTTACCGTGAATAGTGACTGGTACACGACTATTTGTTTGCCGGAAGTTATTGACAAACTCCGTAAAAATAACCGTAAACACCGTATCATCTTGCACCACGATAATGCAGTTCTCTCACGGCCAGACAAATGAGTTTTTGAAGGTGAACAACGTTGACCTCAAGAGCATCCCGCGTACAGTCCCGACCTGGCACCTTGTGACTTTTATTTATTTCCAAAAACTAAGAACCAGTTACGCGGTCAACGATTTTCAACACTTGAAGAGGCTGTCGAAGAGTATGAAAAATATGTTTCAGAGATTGTCACGGAGGAGTATAATGTTATCAAAATTTGCTCATTCGTATGAAAAAGTGCATTAACGTTAACGGAAAATATTTTAAGAAACAATAAATTAATTTCCGACCATTTATAGTATTTTTTTCTTATTCATTCCGGAAACATATAGTGCGCCCCACGTATAACAAGGCTTACACGACTACACAGTGCAGCACTCACTTCACGATCATTTTCAATGTCATTTTTAACCGACATAAAAAAGGAGTAGGTTCTCAATTCGATTGTATGTTTTTTGTATATATGTTACGCGATAACTCCGGAACCGATTTTATTGATTTTTTTTGTTGGAAAGAGGGTAACTCAGTAGGGGTAATTTAAATTTGAAGAAAATATTCCACCTTTAAGGGTGGCAAGCTAGGGGATGAATGACTTTTGAGGTCGATTTTTTAGTTCTTTGTACTGAGATCATAAAACTTCACTTTCAGGAAGCAGAAGCGTTCGCACAAGCATTTGACATCGACAGTAAGAAGTTGCAAGAAATAGGGTTAAAAATATCAGCTATGCCGAAATTGAATAGTCAACGACAACGAGTGGTCTGTATAACGCAAGGATGCGACCCAGTGATCTTAATCGAAGGTAGTAAAGTTGATTATATCCCAGTGCAAAAGTTAGAAAGGGAACAGATAGTAGACACGAACGGAGCAGGTGACGCGTTTTCTGGAGGTTTCTTGAGTCAAATGGTGCTAAATAAACCTTATGCCACATGTGTTAAGTGCGGTATTTACACAGCAGCTCACATCATACAACATTCAGGGTGCACGTTCGAAGGAGAGAGTAAATTTGTGGATTGTTAAAATACCATTGATATTTTGCATTACGGCTGTTGTAGTTAGATAAATGTCATTGTTGTTGTAATCATTTTCAAACCAAACCCAATTACTTTGCCCTTTTAATATAAACAGATAATGATATGAGAATAGATGTTAGAACTTGTTTTGTGTATACAGGATTATTTTTAAACACAAACAACCTTCCAGGACTATATATTACTTACATCTTAAACAACAACTTTTGTTCCACGACGTTTGACAAAACATTATAAATTTACCCAAATTAAACTTTTATCTGACACTTTCAAGATCTGTATTTAGTGGTAAGTGAGGTAGCAAGTTCAAAAGTGTTAGCGTCCTCCCCGACGACTCCCGCCGCGTTTTGCACAGAGTTATCACCGACTAAAACTTTGTTAGTAGCTGTAGAGCTCCTTGTGAAAGAATTCATCCAGGGTAGTATTGCGAACTTACCAATTTTTGCCGCCATGCCTATAATTTTCATTAACGTCAGCATTACTGTGTTCCGGTTTTGAAGGATAAGAGTGCTGCTGAATTTACAGGCACACGGGACTTGTCAACTTATGTCTCATGGTGACGGGCGCAGTGGCAGTGCCCCTCAGATGTTTGCGATTTAATGCTCGGGAGTGGCACTGCAACTGTTATGAACAGGCGTGTAGCTTACCATCAGGCGCACTTGATATTATAAAAAAAAACCTCCTTTTATTGGATAATGAATATTTTCTGTTTAATGAAGTATCTTTTGAAACAATTATAATTTTCTACACTACTTTATTTTATATTAATTATTATTGTTTGCGTTAGTGACGATCATATTATACCTTGACATTGTAATATTGTGACATTGATAATATGAAACAAATGATTCTATCCTTTTCTAAACACTGATAATATTTTTATGATGTTAGCAATACAGTCCTGAAAGGTTGTTAGTAATTTACAAATCAATCCTGTTTAATTAATTTCGTACATTAAAAAAATTACTTAAGACAGCAGGCTTCACAACTGGTGCCAGTAGACCTAGCATTACGGGAAAATAGACAAATCTTGCGGGTTTCAAGAACATTTCTCTACCGACTACAGCAAGAGAAACTCCACTGTAGCCAGAGATTTCTCATTGTATTGATATTATTATATTAATCAGGTTTTTATGGTACCTTTACATTTTTGTTCTTTGCTATCTTTTTAAACTTAACCTGAAGGCAGTAAATTTTGAAATACTCAAGATGACTATTCAATTTGATAGAATAATAATGCTGTAATGGCCAACAGTCGTACGGCAATATAGATTTTAAGGGTATCGTGGTTATTCACTCGTTTAGACGTATAACCCAAAAATCCATAAAAACAGAACGAACATCCATTATAAACATCTTGCCTACTGTCAAAGGGTGACAGAAATATTTGTAAACGAAGGTTTGGTCAAAATTATACACAATATACATTGACTTACAATTATATGGACGTAGGGTCCGCGCTAAAAAGTGTCCGAACTTATAGGGCGTTAAAATCGTATACAGAGCGTCATTCACGCTCTAGTCTTCGTTTGTTCGACTGACAGCGAAGCAAGCAAAATTAGACAGTACTGCGATGACATTACAATTTAAATTCAACGTTTTAGCTTTTTCATATTCCTTTCCATGTCACTACGTTTAAATAGGTTGACTTGGGACATTTTTTTCGTGGCTTTTGTATTAGACCCGTCGTCCATTTATTTGTAAGTCAATGACAATATAGCTAATTTTGTGTGCGCAGCGATTTTTAACCTCGTAATGCTCATGCTCGCGCAATTACTTCATTTCCAGAGAAAATTGACTGTTCGGAGAAGCCATAGGTTTTGTCTTTGGTCTCATGCTAAGAATGCTGGAGTAAAAAGCCTCGTGGTTGAAAATCTGTAGCCTCCAAGGCAAATATTTTAGAAAAAAATTACGTACGTTGTGTGAACAGCTGTTTTAAGTTCATACATTTCGTAATTACGACAAAAACTGGGATATTTTGCAAGTCAAATGTTTATAGAGATTTTATAATTTGCAAGTAGCGGCATATGTTAGGTTTGTAATGCGAGCAACAAAATCACATGATAGTTGTATTAGGGCGTATTCCGTCATTTTGTACGAATCGCATTTTTTTTACATGATACTTTTCTAATCAATAACTTTTACAGCTTAATAATATCAGTGGAGTATTAGTAGAGTTGACTCATTCCGTGTCCAAATAACCTACAATTGATTGATTTGATAAAGCACCCGCTATTCAATAGCAAATAGTTCTTTCTAATATTGACTTGACAAAATATAATCTACATATATTTTTTTTATTAAGGCTTTGGCAAAGCCATAAGCCTAAACATGAAGTTTAATTATGTTTCTGTAAATATGGCCGCCACAAAGAGGATAGGCAATTTAAGGCGGCGCGCTTGGATTGACTCGGGATTCCTTAAAACGGACCGATACGGGTATTTTAGTTCGAGGTCCGTATAATTTCGCGTTTTAATCTTCCATTAAGGTACCATAGCACTATCCTATTCCACTTTAAAGTAGATTTCACAAAATAATTGAAAGTCAAAAAGGTCCAGAGCGAATCTATAATATTTGAAAATTAAAGTTTGTCCATCGACAAAATGTTTTTATTTTTTTTACGGCACATCACGATAGGTAAAAGGATATGAGCCTTAGAGTATACAATCCTACGGTATAGAGCGCGCATATCGCACTAGTCGCCTAGTTCGCAGCGTAGGCAAGTAAACTATAGCTAATTATATTGATGAGTAGGTGACGTTTAGGGATTGGACCGCTACTGTTGCACGATATCGACATTGGTTCAATAATAATCTGTTAGTTAGATTATGGTTTGTAAAATAAAAGATCCAGTGCAGGATTTTTTTAATAAATCAAATAATAATTATCTATTATTAATATAATTTTTATTGACCGCTAAAAAGCGTAAGCTTATTATAAAGCTGTCTTTTAGTTTTCTTAATATTTAACTTTCGAACTAAATATTTCACGCGTATATCAATATATTTTTGAATCACAGCTCTTAGCAAATGTAGTAAATGATTGCTGCAAGGTTCTTGTTCAAATAAATGCGCGTGAAGCACATGAAATATATCTGTACCAATGAACAACTTCAGCGTTTTATTGACCATGCTTCGAGCATCACGATCTGCTTCATTTTTCGATTCTATATTACTTTTGACTATTTTTTCAGCGGCATTACATAAATGAATCACGTCCTCAGATGGATACATAAGACCTCCTCTGTCTTTAAATAATATAAACGAATTATAATGAGAAGGTGTCGTTGCTATTAAAGCAGATAAACAGTCAACGCACTCTATTTTACATAGTAAATATCTTGTTACATATCCAGCAATATAGGAGATGACGTGCTGTGAAATAATTGAGTAATCTACCGTTGTGGGTAAATTCACATCATCTTCAAAATTACTCATAAATTGTTCGTCAACAATAGCATCATCCTCTTGTGAACATGACCTGTGTCCTTTAGTAGTTAAATTTATGTGATTAACGGATGAAGAACAGGTTAACAGAGTAATTTGTTCCAAGGACGCACAGTTTCCGGAAAAGTTTTCTTTAAGCTCCATATGCACCAAAAGCTTTTTGTAGATAGCTTTGAATTGGGAGACCGACGGATTATTATTAAACCCACCATGGGATCGTATCACTGAAAAAAGGATCTCCAGATGGTCCTGGCTTATTTTGTACATAGCCAAGAAATTAATTTTTTTTTCTTGCTTAACCAGCCTTATGTACAACTCTTTCATGCTCTCAATGCACACACAAAGTCCGAGAAATCCAATTTTGTTTCGTGAATGTACAATCTGTCGATTTTCATTTGGGAACACTAATGTCTGTAGGTATGTTTTAGCATTTTCTAGAAATGTTATATATTTTGTCTCATTATTCTCATTGATGGGAGCTTTGAAGTCAATTCCCAGAAATTTCCGGGAATTGAAAATGTCAAAAACATTGTTTATCACATGAGTAAAATTTACCGTTGCAGCAGAGTTTGCAAAATTTAACAAATGCAGCCTTTTATCACAAAATTCAATAGCTTTTGCCACACTAGCGCTGAATAATTGTACTGCTAGTTTTACCTTCATTACTTGATTCTTAAAATGAAGATGTCTTGTTGTTAATTTGTTAGCTAAGTGAAAATTTTCATTTTCCTGCAAAGTGTTAAGCTCAACAAAATATTGCCATTTAATAAGTCCTCCATTGTTATCTTGAAAAACCTTTTTACTTTCTAAAGTATTTCTGACAAGTTTGACCATATGGCATGGATCAAGAAACACATAGATAGACTGTTCCGTCTCAGGGTGCGGAAAATAGGTTTTTAACTGTCCTAGATCAAATGAACAGCCGAGCTCGCGAGCCATAGCCATGTTTGCCGGACAACCATCGAATGTCATCGATACAACTTCTACGCCGACTTCGTGACAATTGGAAAGGCACATTCGAACTAAATTTGCTCTTTGATCTCCTGTAACGCCATCCACCAAAAAATATCCCACAGGGATTTTCCATCGTCCGTTTACCGCCACCAAAAGAAATACCAGGGCTTGTGTACACAATGCGGTTGTATCTCCGGGTACATCAATTCCTGCTCCAAAGTCCACAAAACCTTCAACTTTGTTGCCATCAAACTCTTTTAGCTTACGTATGGCCATTTCATCGGTAACTAAATTACATAAAATTTTATTTTCGGTCGCCTTTACTTTTTCGCGAAGAGCATTAAATGCTTCGGCAGTAAAACCTGGAGACGCATTGAGGCATTGGTACCATTTCCGGATTGTACTTGGGTGTGGGAGACATGTGTTAAATGTACTCCTTATGTACGAGTAGGCCTTCGGAGAATAAAAATGGAGTGTTAGCGCAAATGTGCGGAGCTCTGGTGAATATTTCTTGCCTTTATTCATCATTCTCTTAAGGAGAGCTGCTGCAGAAACTTCACACGATTCTAGAAGAGCAACTTGCTCTTGTGTAATGAATCTCTTTTCTTTTAATTCGTCTAATACTTGAGACATATTATTAATTTTTTTTTTCAAACGCTGGCGTGTTGCGTAAAGCGCATTGCATCGCATTCGGCGACGTTTAGCTACATCTTTTAATCGAATAATTTGTTTTTTCAATTTTTGTTTTCTTGGGGTATCGCCGACATTTGGGAGAAGTGGACATACGGCTGAAGGCACTTCATGATCAATATGCATATTGTTTGAAGTAGATGGTTCGTGCTCTGCAAACGGTACTTCGCCTGAATTTAATGACGCTGCTTCCGTCGAATTATTATCAGCAGGTGTTGATTGACCAAGAAAAAGGGATGGGACAGCCGTACTTATTAATTTGCGTAGTCCTTTTTTCGTTTCATAGATATTGGAATCATGAAAGTGTACTGAACAAACTTTATTCCATATGTTTGGCTTAAAACTTGTTCGTTTTAAAGCGACAATCCACTTGTTCATCAAATTTCGGTCCTTTGGAAAGCTGAAATATAAGAAAACTTGAAAATTTATTTTATTTATTTTTTATTTACTTCATTCTTCACCTACCAAAATTTTTCAAAATCAATTAAGTAATTTAGAC